TACGACGGGAAACCGGAAAACAAAAGAGCTGAAGAGATACTAATTAAAATATATTCTGCCTATTTTCTGCCTATATTCAGCCTATTTTAGCCGAAGTGGCGCCTGTCTGGTTAGACATATTCACATTTTTATCAACTCCACGAAGAATTCTCTCCTCTTATCCCTTATTTAGTAAATCTCTAACTTACTCTCTCATTCTTTTTAAACTCACTGTACCCAACAACCGTGGTCGCATGATGGTTGACTTTGTCCAAATCATCCGCTTGAGTTGAACCATTCATTCTCAGTGCATAACCTATCTTACACAGTCCCGTTAGTCAACAGGAATTAATTGACCATTTGACTAAGCAGCCATGCAGGTGAAGTCCGTGCATTCTCTCCCCCCAAAACTGCTCATCGAATAAACAAATTTGGATATCACAAGCATGAATGTCGGTACATAACATAAAGCACAAAAGTGCTTCTTAATTTGACGATTGGATTGGTTAATTAATTTTGATGCCAATCGTTTTAATTGGTTGCACCATCAAGGGTCTAACCCCCCATCGAGGCTACTGAACTCTTCACATTCTCGACATTTCATAGTAGTGGCAAGGCGTCTGCGTATGGTCAGTCCGAAGATATAAGGTTTTGTCTCACCGTCCGTGCATGCGGGAGAGAGGAAGTCATAGCATGCGTTGGCTTAGGTGTGTGCCCGTAGCGCAGATCTTCGATAGCCGTGGTCACGTGTGTGTACTAATGTGCGTGTGTGTATATGAATGCGTGCGAGAGCTCACCGACCAACAAATGAAATATAAACAATGATATGCCCGTAGCGATTGTCGGCGCGGGCCATGGCAGGCGGATTCCGATGGCTCCCACTGTGGCCAAAATGCCACTCCTCATGCTCTTGCATCGATGGCTGTGAACTGAGTACACGGGTCGAAACGCCTCGGTCACATTAACTACGTGGTTTGATTCCACTAGGTGTAAAACGATTGAGCTGTTGATAGTCCTAATGATACCACCATTCCACCAAGCCGGGTGGTGCTCACGGACCCCATGGTCCCGAAAACAATTCGTAAGAACACTCAGTCTTCCATGACCGGCACCACACACAACACAGTCATCCCCCCACCCCTTGTGACCCGAAACAGTGGTCATGTGTGAGGACTAAGTGTGAGCACCATCCGGTCATGAAACTGGAATGTTGATTATTTGTTTTCCAACTCGACATGATTTTTCCCCTTCTAAACAGTTCGATACAAATTGTGATGCATTACCTAAGAACGAGAACAACTATCGTCACAGGACAGGTCGGGTTCAACTGTTTCACGTTATCTCTTCAGCCGTGTACAAACATTCGCGTGAAAGTTCCATCAGGAAAATGACAAATCTTTGACCAATAAAAGCACTCGATTAGACAAAATCAGTGCGAAGGTCAAAGGTCACTAGTCACAATCAGGTTGAACAGAGAGATAGGGTGGGAGAACATGTTTATCGATCAGACTCAAAGCAACAGCCCTACCATGGGAGGTTGAGGCTGGTCACAAGTCTAACTGTTTACAGAGGTATGGTTCATGACACCGAATGGCTACGACCTCAGTAAACCGTAACAACCTCCCAGTTTTCTGTTGGCTTAACCCTAGATTGGGATTGATGCAAAATTTAAAATCCAATATATGGTGGGCAATGGAGTTGGAGAGGATCTTTGAGCCGTTGAGCGCTAAATTTCTCGGGACATGTTCTGAAATCCGAGTGGCCAAGTGCCTCTCAGTTCTTCCGATGTACTTGCTGCCGCAATTGCATTGAAAGAGAGGAGGTAACTTGCGAGTTCAGCTCATCCAAGTTGAATTCAGTGATCACTCCTCTGCTTTTATGGAGAATAATTAGCGAAGCAACGTTGTACTTTCTTGAGAAAGTTTGTTTCAGCCGACGTTGTGATGGTTTCTTATTCTGATGGCCTTTAAAGGGTAATGTGATGACATTACCCTTTAAAGGTCATGAGAAAGTTTTTCTTTGGTACGTCGTTTCTCCTAGTTCTAGTCTCCATGTTGTTGTCATACTTGGTAATGAAATTCCACGGATATCCGATTTTCTGTAATGTACAGGATATCATTTCAAGATCGTTTTCAAATATTTCCCCAGAAAAAATCGTTTCGCTCTAGAAAACAAGCCCTTTTCTAGGGCTCGCTTGTATTGTATAGGATAGAAGCTTCTGAAATTCAAATACTGTCCGGCCGAAGTTGGTTCGTGGAATGTAGACCTGATGGGAGATCCATCTTCCCTTCTCGTGAGTTCGACATCCATGAATTGA